TTACATGTAAATCACACGCCTTGCGCTAGCAATCAGGGATCCTCTGGGTCCCCCCTCCCCCCTCCCCCCATGCCCCCTCGCCCCCACGCTCTTCGGCGGCTACGCCGCCCCTCCCGACCCTTCAGGCGGCTACACCGCCATGCCCTTCGGCGGCTACTCCGCCCCGCGATCCATTCCCGCCTCCACTTCCGTCTCTCTGGCTGCAATTCGTTTTTCTCAACCGCGCTGGGCCTCGCGCTGCCCCCCGCCCCCGCCCCTCCCGCGCGCGGGCGTCGGCGCAATGGGGAAACGCGCCCTGCAGGTGGACAAGCAGGTGGAGCAGCGGGCTCGACTGCAACAGTGTCTGGCCCTGCGCGGCGTGTCCGCGGCTTTGCTCGAGCGAATCGTGACTGCGCTTGGCCATGGCGACGACGCGGGCGATGCTATAGACGTGAGCGCTCGGGCCATGCAGCGATCGCAGACGGCATCCGTGGCCGATCTCATCAGCGCAGTGCGGCTGCAGCCCAAGATCGGCACGCCTTTCCGATGGAGCGTGGCGCTGCCGCATCGGCTGATGCCGAGGCTCCTGTCGGACTGCCCTCTCTGGAGTTCAATGTTTTGGGAAGCGATGCGCCGTTTCCCTGTGTCGCGCGATCGGCCGTGGAGGCTTTTGCTGTACTACGACGACATTGGCGTGGGCAACGCCTTGAAGATAGATAATCGTCGGAATCAGCTCGCGGTGTATGCGAGTTTCCTCGAGTTCGGATCCTTCTTGCAGAAGGAGGTTGCGTGGCTGCCGATCGGCACCTTGCGCGTCGTCGTGAAGAAGAGCATCGGCGGCTCGGCCGTGGCGCGGGCATTGCTTCGCGCGCTGTTCCTGGGCCCAGAGAGTCTGTCGGAGCACGGTGCGCCAATCGGCGGCGTGCACTTTTTCGCCAAGTTCCACCGCTTGATTGCAGACGAGGCGGCTGGAAAAGAGACATTCTGCACCAAGGGCGCTGCAGGTCTGAGACCGTGCTTGCAATGCAAGAACGTTGTGCTGGATCAGGCGGAATGTCTTGCAGACTACGACGACGATGATTACCTCGTGCCTCTCTGGTGCGCTGACTCGTCGCGCTTTGACCCGCTGTCGTCAGACGAGTTTTTGCAGCAATATGATGATTTGGCGTCGCTGCGGGACACGACAACCAGAGCGAACATCGAGAGACTGGAGCCAGGGAGGAAAACATTTCCATCGATCCCCTTCTGATGTCCCCCCCTTCCTTCCCTTCTGATGTTCCGGCCCCCGAAGGAGACGGCAATGGGCATCACTCTGGATGACCGTTCTCTGGTGGCGTGCCAGGCGTTGCGGACGGTGGCGCCGCCGAGCACATACGTGAGGGACCCCATGCATACCATGCTGGCCAGCGGCGGGACCTTGCAGGTCGAAATCTTTGCGCTCCTCAAGGCGGTGAGGGATGTCATCCCCGACGCGTGGGGAACGTGGCGGGATCGCTGCTCGGCGTGGCGGACTGGCAGACGCGGCAGGAAACCGCCAGCGTTTCTGTTCAGCGTGGCTCGGAAGAAAGCGACCTGCAAGGCGTCGCACTTCGTGGGCAAGGCGTCGGATTGCTTGGCCGTGTTCCCTTTGATTCGTCATTGGGTGCACACAGAGCTGCGTCCCAGCGGCATGGCGAACGCTGCGGCGCGGTCGTTCGAGGCGATGGCGAAGATGCTCGAATTGTACATGCAGGGCAAAAGGACATGCGGCCGCAGCTGAAACGCAAACGCTGGCCTGCGCGTTCGAGGATGCACCGCGTCGGCCCGCGCGCATCCTCGAGCGCTTAGGTGGCAGGCGGTTCGGCTACGTCCTGAGGATCGGCGCCGTGCCGAATTTGATAGCTGTCTGGACCAAGGCCGTTTCGATTTCCTTGGCGCTGCACAAAGCCGCGCACGGGCCAGCCCTGATCAAGCCGAAGCATCATTATTTGTGGCACGTCCCCGACCAGCCTGCGGAGGACGGCATCTGGTTGGACGCCTTCGTACTCGAGCGGAAGCACAACCTGCTTCGGTCCAGGTCGCAGGAGATCGACAACCCTGAGAATTTCGAGCGGTCGGCCTTGACGGCGATGCTCGCCTGCTTCCTGGAGGAAGCGAAGGAGGCGCCGCGCTCCCGCGCCAAAGCGTGGCGCACGCCAGAGCTGGACAGTACGTTCGGGCACTCGGGGCGCAACCTTGCATGCCCTTTGTGGAGGAAGATGGGCTGGGAGAGGGGAAGGCGGTTTGCCGCCGAGGCGGCGCAACCAACCTTGGTATTTAGGGGTGCACATGCGTGTGCCCCCCCAAAAATCGAGGCGTTGCTGCCCTCAGGATTTTCTCCTGGGCGACGGCGAGGCGTACATCGTGCATTGCTGCGCGCAGGCTGGCGCCGCCAGCTACCTGCTGGTGGAGACCCTGGAATGGGTGCGCGCGCCATGCCCAGGCGCGTCCCTGTGGCGGCCGCGCGGCGACGTCGCCGTGATGCCCGCCGAGCTGATCCCGCCAGCCTGGGCGGCTTATCGGCGACTACAGGACGATGGCTATGTGCTCGCCATCACGTGAAAAAGGAAAAAACGAGCGCATGCGAGAGCGGATATGCCGCTGGCGGATGCGCCGCCCTTCGATAGAGAGGTGCAGGAGGGAGGGGCGGATATGCCGCCGAAGAAGGAAGGCGGGCTCGGGGAGGGAAGGCGGCAGGAGGGAGCGGGGGCGGGCTGGCCGCCGACAACGAGGAGAGGAGAGGGGAGGCGGTGATGGCCGCCGAGGGGAGGCAGTTTGAAGAATAGTTGATCCCCCCCCCCCTCTCCCTCTCCCCCCTTCCCCTCCGCGCCCCGCAGGCGTCCTGAGGGCGGCTCGGCGCGTCGACCTGCGGCGCCCTGTCCTGAAAAACTGTTGTGTTGTAGTTGTTAAAACGTTTTTTTGTGTTTTTTTTTTTCCCGAAACATAGCAATATCAAGAATAAACATGCAAAGCATAGAAAGTTATGCAAATTTCGGGTTAACCGAATCGGACAGCCCACATCGACTTAGCTGACTTAGCTACTAAGTTGGGTATGTTGAGGTGTATGTATCGATATATCTTGGCAGTGGTACCCGATAGCTCAGTTGATAAGATGGATGGTTCTGTGAGTAGTATGTATGGTATGTTGTTGAATATACTTATCTAACAAAACGTTAAGTAGATGAATGCGAAGTTCGATATTTTATATATGTTGAATATGTGAGGTCAACTAGCATGAACCTACATACATCTTCGTTGAAACGATTTCATCGGATATACAACGCTCTTACCGCACTTACACCCACCCGACGATCAAAGCGGGGCATCTCCCGACCCTCCCGGACCCTCCTGGGCTGCCCTCCCGGGCTGCCCTCCCGACCCTCCCGGACCCTCCTGGGCCACCCTCCCGGGGCCACCCTCTCGGGCCACGCTCCCGGGCCTACCTTCCCCCGGGCCCCCCTCCCTGGGCCCCGGGAGGGCCCCCCTCCCGGGCCACCCTCCCGGGCCACCCTCCCGGGCCCACCCTCCCGGGCCACCCTCCCGGGCCACCCTCCCAGGCCCACCCTGCCGGGCCACCCTCCCGGGCCACCACCCCGGGCCACCCTCCCGGGCCACCCTCCCGGGCCACCCTCCCGGGCCACCTTCCCGGGGCCACCCTCCCGGGCCACCCTCCCGAGCGACCCTCCCGGGCCACCGTCCCAGGCCACCCTCCCGCCCTCTTTTCCGGGCCACCCTCCCGCTACCTTTCCGGGCGCACCCTCCCGGGCCCCCCTCCTGGGCCACCCCGCCGGGCCCACCCTCCCGGGCCATTGGGCCACCCTTCCGGGCCCACCCTCCCGAGCCCACCCTCCCGGGCCACCCTCCCGGGCCACCCTCCCGGGTCACCCTTCCGGGCCACCATCCCGGACCCACACCTCCCGGGGTACCCCCCGGGCCCACCTTCCGGGCCCACCCTCCCGGGCACCCTCCCGGGCTCACCCTCCCGGGCCCACCCTCCCGGGCCGACCCACGCGGGCCACCCTCCCAGGCCACCTTCCCGGGCCACCCTCCCGGGCCCACCCTCCCGGGCCACCCTCCCAGGCCCACCGTCCCGGGCCCACCCTCTCGGCCACCCTCCGGCCCACACCCTCCCGGCCACCTTCCCGGGCCACCTCCCGGGCCACCCTCCCGGCCACCCTCCCCGGGCCCACCCTCCCCGGGCCAACCCTCACCAGGCCACCCTCCCGCCCTCATCTCCCGGGCCCACCCTCCCGGGCCCACCCTCCCAGGCTCCACCCTCCCGGACCCCACCCTCCCGGGCCCACCCTCCCGAGCCCACCCTCCTGGGCGCACCCTCCCGGGCCACCCTCCCGGACCACGCCCTCCCGGGCCCACCCTCCCGGGCCACCCTCCCGAGCCCACCCTCCCGGGCCCACCCTCCCGGGCCACCCTCCCGGGCCACCCTCCCGGGCCGGGCCACCCTCCCGGGCCACCTTCCCGGGCCAGCCCTCCCGGGCCACCTTCCCGGGCCCCCTCCCCCCGGGCCCACCCTCGCGGGCCCACCCCTCCCTGGGCCCACCCTTCCCCGGGCCCACCACCCTCCCAGGGGCCCACCCCCCGGCCACTCCTGTCCCTTGGCCACCCTCCCGGGCTACCCTCCGGGCCACCCTCCCGGGCTACCCTCCCGGGCCACTCTCCCGGGCCCACCCTCCCGGGCTACCTTCCCAGGACATCCTCCCGGGCCCCACCCTCCCGGGCCCACCCTCCGGCCACCCTCCCGGGCCACCCTCCCCTTGTCGTCGTCATCGTCGTAGTCGTCGTTGTCGTCGGCGGCGGCCCCTGGAGGAGAGGGAGGCGGGGGCACCGGACGCCCCGAGAGCCCAAGCCGAAAAGCCGGAGGCCGAACCTCGAACCTGGAACCTGGAACCTCGGTCCTCCTCCCTCGACGGCGGCAGTATCGAATCGGCATTCGCGGCGATGCGATTCGCCGAATCGAACCGACCCGGATCGAATCTCGTGCGGACCTCTGTTGTTGTACAGGCGCAGCTCCTGCAGGCCGGGCAGGGAGGGCAGCGCCCCCGCCAGGGCCCGCGCGCCCTCGTCGCCGATGCTGTTGATGTACAGCCACAGCTCCTGCAGGCCGGGCAGGGAGGGCCCGCGCGCCCCCGTCGGGAAATCGTAATCGCATCGCCTGGAACCGGATCGCTGCGAACCGCAGGCGAATCGAACCGGGAACCGGATCGCGACCTCGCCGAATCGAATCGCGGACCGGATCGCGACCCTGTCGATATCGAATCGCGAACCGGATCGCGCCAGTGGATCGCGGTCCCGGACCCTCCCGGCGTGAGCACTCCCCTTCGTGGCCGTCCTCCCTCCATCCCTCCTCCCCCCTCTCTCCCTCCTCCTCCCTCCTCCTCCTTCTCCCGTCGCGCTTGCGCGGGCCCACCCTCGGGAACCCTCCCGGGCCACCCTCCCGGCCCCCCCCCCGCCCTCGGGGACCCTCCCTCGGAACTCCACCCTCCCAGGCCCCACCCTCGGAACTCCACCCTCGGAACTCCACCCTCTGAACTCCACCCTCCCGGGCTACCCTCCCGGGCCACCCTCCCGGGCCCCACCCTCGGAGACCTCACCCTAGAGCCATCCTCCCTGGCCCCCTCTCCCCCCGCCCTCGGGGACCCGCCCGGGCCCACCCTCGGGGACCCTCCCGGGCCACCCTCTCGGGCCACCCTCCCAGGGCCCAACCCTCGGAGACCCCACCCTCCTGGGCGCCACCCTCCTGGGCGCCACCCTCCCGGGCCACCCTCCCGGGCCACCCTCCCAGGCCCACCCTCCCGGGCCACCCTCCCGGGCCACCCTCCTGGGTCACTTTCGCGGGCCACCCTCCCGGGCCACCCTCCCGGACTTACCTTCCCGGGCCACCCTCCCGAGCCCCACCCTCCCGGGCCCACCCTCCCGGGCCACCCTCCCGGGCCATCCTGGGGCCCACCCTCCCGGGCCACCCGTCCCGCGCCACCCTCCCGGGCCATCCTCCCGGGCCACCTTCCCGGGCCACCCTCCCGGGCCACCCTCCCAGGCTACCCTCCCGGGCCACCCTCCTGGGCCACCCTCCTGGGCCACCCTCCCGGGCCACCCTCCTGGGCCACTCTCCATGGGCTCGAGCACCCTCGACCTGGCCTCTCACCCGGCCCACCCCATTACGGGCCCCACACCCTCGGAGACCACCCCTACTGGGTCCACCCTCCCGGCGCACCCTCCCTGGGCCCCCCTCTCGTGCCACCTCCCGTCCACACCTCCTGGGACACCTCCTGGGCCACCCCTCCGGCCACCCTGCCGGGCCCCACCTTCGGGGGACGCCTTTCCGGGCCACCCTCCCGGCCACCCTCCCGGCCCAACCCTCCCGGGCGCGGGCCAACCTTCGGCCCACCCTTGTTTTCCGGGCCCCACCCTCCCGGGCCACCCTCCCGGCCAACCCTCCCGGCCCAACCCTCTCCATGCCACCCCTCGCCCTGGCCACCCTCCCGGTCCCACCCTCCCGTCCACCCTCCCGGGGCCCATCCTACCCGGGCCCCCCCTCTCGGAGACCCCCCTTCCCGAGAGCCACCATCCTGGGCGGCTACCCTCCCGGGCCCACCCCTCCCTGTCCACCCTCACCGGGCAACCCTCCCGGGCTCCTCCCGGGCTACCCTCTCCGGCCACCCTCCCGGCCAACCCGTCCCGGGCCAACCCTCTCGGGGCTGCCCTCCCGATCTGCCTCCCGGGCCAACCCTCCCGGGCCCCACCCTCTCGGGCCACCCTCGGAGACCCCACCCTCCCGGGCCACCGTCCCGGGCCCATCCTCCCGGGCAACTCTCTCAGGCCCACCCTCCCGGGCCACCCTGCCAGGCCACCCTCCCGGGCTCCACGCTCGGAGACCCTCCCCGGCCACCCTCCCGGGCTACCCTCTCGGGCCACCCTCCCGGGCCCACACTCCCGGCCACCCTCCCGCACCACCCTCCCGGGCCAGCCTCCCGGGCCACCCTCCCGGGCCACCCTCCGGGCCCACCCTCAACCGAGCCCACCCTCCCGGGCCACCCTTCCCGGGGCCACCCTCCCGGCCACCCTCCCGGGCCACCCTCCCGGGCCACCCTCCCGGGCCTACCTTCCCGGGCCTACCTTCCCGGGCCACCCTCCCGGGGCACCCTCCCGGGCCCACCCTCCCGGGATCACCCTCCCGGGCCCACCCTCCCGGGCCGACCCTCGCGGGCCGCCTTCCCAGGCCACCTTCCCGGGCTACCCTCCCGGGCCCAACCTCGCGGGCCCCACCCTCCCGAGGCCACCCTCCGGCCACCCTTCCGGGCCACCCTCCCGGGCCCACCCTCCCGGGCCACCCTCCCGGGCCACCCCCCCGAGCCACCCTCCCGCGCCACCCTCCTGGGCGCCACCTTCCCGGGCCACCCTCCCGGGCCCACCCCCGGGGACCCCCCCGGGCCACCCTCCCAGACTTACCTTCCCGGGCCGCCCTCCCAGCTGCGCGCCACCCTCCCGGGCCCACCTCTCCCTCTCGGGCCCCACCCTCGGAGACCTGGACCGGCCACCCTCCCGGTCCACCCTCCCGGGCCCCCCTCCCGGCCCCACCCTCCCGGGGCCCCACTCTCGGGGAGCCTCCCGGGCTTCCTCCCGTGTACCACGCCTCCCGGGCTTCCCTCCCGAGCCCACCCTCCCGGGGCCAACCTCTCGGGCCACCCTCCTGGAGCCACGCCCGGGGCCACGCTCCCGGGCCACCCTCCCGGGCCACCCTCCCGGGCCACCCTCCCGGGCCACCCTCCCGTGCCACCCTCTCGGGCCACCCTCCCGGGCCACTCTCCCGGGCCACCCTCCCAGGCTCTACGCTCGGAGATCCTCCCCGGCCACCCTCCCGGGCCACCCTCCCGGGCCACCCTCCCGGGCCCACCTTGCCGAGGCCACCCTCCCCGCACCACCCTCCCCGGGCCACCCTCCCCGGGCCACCCTCCCGGCCACCCCTCCCCGGGCCCACCCTCGCCGGGCTCCTCATCCTGGGCCACCCTGGCCGCCCCCTCCCCGGGCCCAACCTTCCCGGGGCTCCACCTCTCGGGCCACCCTCCCGGGCCCCTCCTGGGCCACCCCCGACCAATCAACATATTCTTATCTTGCGGTTTTTCTTCATTTCCTGCGGTATCTTATTGTTTTTATTGTTGTTGTTTTTTTTTTTTTTTTTTTAAAGAATCTTTCAACGCAGAAAATCAAGCGGAATCCTTTAAAAAAAAACCACCTGTAAAACACATAAATCCTTCAAAAAGATAACGAAAACCCGTAAGAGATATGGTTTTCCTTTAAAAATGCCACGGGGATCCAAATTACGGGTCCGAGCGGATCTTGGCTATATTGAAAATATCTTGGGGCCTTGGGTGTCTGGGGTGGCTTGGGTGTCTGGGGTATCTTGGGGTACCTGGGGTATTTGGGGTATATTTTGTATCCGCCGACCCCTTGGGGATCATCGGCGTGTGAGATGCTTCCCCCTCCCCAAACCCCTCCCCCGGGAGCCCGGTCCGGTCGATTTGGAGGGGGGGGGGGGTCCGGGACGAGCGCAGCACGGCCGGGACGAGCGCAGCACGGCCGGGACGAGCGGTTCACGGGGCTTTTCCGTGCCCAAGAGGGCCTCAAGACTGGCCAAGAAGCCCCCAAGAGGCCTCCAAGACGGCCCACGAAGGCCCCGAGACGCCAAACGACCGCTCCAAGACGCCCAAGATGGCCCCAAGACTGGCCAAGAGGTCTCCAAGACGGCCCCCGAGGTCCCAAACAAGCCTCCCAAGAGGACCCCAAGAGTCTAAAATTGTTGATTTTCCATAGTGTTTTTCGATGTTTTTTGCTTTTCCGCCTTTTCGGCTTCCCGACGCTCCAAGACGGCCAAAGAGGCCCCAAAGATAGCCCCAAGATGGCCCAAGAGGCCCCCAAGACGGCCTCCAGACGGCCCAAGACGGCCCCAACACGGCCCTAGAGGTCCCCAAGACGGCCCAAGAGGGCTCCAAGACGGCACCAAGAGGGGCCCAAGAGGGCGACCAAACATGTTGAAACTCTAGCTTTCTGCCCCCAGGAGCCCCAGGGGGGCCCAAGAGTGCCCCAAGAGGCCCCCAGAGGCCCTCACGAGGCCGCCCAGACGCCCCAAGGAACCCCCAAGAAGCACCCCAGAGGCTCCGAACCAGCCCCCAAGTGGCTCCAAAACTCGCTTTTCACCCCTTCGCAGCTTCTACTACCCCCAGATTGGCATAAACAAGGGGTCGGCGGTGTGGCGTAAGCCTAAGAATCTTGTGTATATTGGGTGTCCTGGGTATCTAGGGTCACGACACGTGCGAGTGGGCAACAAGAAACCCAACGTTCGACAGTAGCGTCTCGGGCTCGAGCCAACGGATTCTTCCTCGGGGCTTCGACGACCTCGAGGCTTCATCTTCGTTCCCTCGAGGCTTCGTCTTCGTTCTCTCGGGGCTCGACCCCGAGCCCTCATGGCATCGACGCAAGGCCATTTCCGCGGCGTTGTCCCAGGCGACCCGTTTCAGAGCAGCATCGTCGGCAACTGCGAGCATGTGATGAGGAGGGCGGAGGTCAACCTTCAGAGCACGGCCTTTGTCCTGAGGGACGTCGGCGCTGGCATCTCCCGCGAGATTGCCACGCTGCAGGATCACAAGCGCATGCTCCAGCTCAGCCTGGTGCGCGCGCAGCATGGCAAGGCGGACACGTCAAGGACCAGATGGCCAAGGCGGAGTACGAGTATCAGCTGAAGGACCAGATCGACTCGCTCACGAAGATGATCGATGAGCTCAGCAAGCAGCACGGCTTCATCAACATCAAGGCGAACCAGACAGTCGACGTGACCAGCGACAAGAATTACAACGAGCCCCAGAGCGACGAGCAGGCGATCATCATGATGGAGACGGGCGAGGAGACGCTCCTGATCGAGAAGGATGGCGCCCCCTACCAGGTCCCGTGGAAGGCTGGCGATCCGAACTCCTGGGTGCACTACGGCTGGAAGCAGAAGGACCCGTCCTTGTGGGTGGATCCCCTGTCAGGCGGCAGCAGTGGCAGCAGTCCAGCGGTGCCCACGGATACCAAGACTCTCTGGCTGGAGAAAAAGGTCGAGG